CCCTATGAGATCTTATAGATTTCAAGTTAACCCATATTTTTTGGTGATAAAGCAACTCTTCAAAACAAGCTGTTTAACAGCAAAGCGAGGCGAAGTGCAGCTTTTTGTATCATTATTGATAGATTTTTTTAAGCTTTCAGTCTTGAAAAAACGAACGATTTTATACAAACGAGTTTAAAAAGCTGCTACCCAAATTTTTCGCCACGTGTTATAGCTTTTTAGTATAATTGCTGCGGTGATGGTAGAGATGCGCGCGCTCTGATTGGACAAGGATTGCGTCATATCTCGCTATAACCACCTCGCGCGAGGTAAATTTCAAAATGGCTACATCGCGTTTTGTCAATGTTACGCAGGAAGGGATGAACGCGATAAAAGAAAATACAACTCTGAAGAGCACAAAGTATACTGAAAAGTTTGACGTGACGGTTTTCAAAAGAGTGCTATGAAGTTTTTGTTGTGCTAATAAAATGAGCCTGTTAAAATCTAGGAGAAACGTGCTACTCATCTCGAGACGAGTAATGCAGCGAGTATGACAGAATTTATAATTTTTTAATTTACTAAACGAATTTACAACAGACTTCGAAAGCACCTGAGCAGCAATTGTACGAAAACGTTATTCCCCTTGAGCTCAGTAGAGAGTGTTGAGTAATCCCCTCGATTTGGTCTCAGGTATTATTCAACAATTCTCTCTTCACCTTCCGCAAATAATTGTTAAATGAAGGGGTTTTTTTAGACAAAACATGTATTTTCATTTAAACTGTGCTCTCAAATCTACGCAATAAATATTCCAATGCTTTCTCACAAGGCGTGGTAACTGTTGCAGAAATTCAAATTTCTGAGATATTCATGAACATGGTAAAATTCATCATGTGAGATACACGTGGGATTCGATAGTCAGAAGTAAGAAGCACTTATTTGGGGGGAGGGGGTGGGGCGGTGCACGGTTTTTTCTCCCCACATTTAAGTATCGACTTTCTTCGGTCCGCATAGTTCTCGTGTAAAGATTAATTTGTCAGCTATCCATCCCCACGCTTTACTTACACACCCAGACAATAATTTGACATGACAAGTAAAGACAAACGGGACTTTCTGAAACTCCACGACTGTTTACTGGCCCTCCAAATACGCAAATCTGTCTGAACCTCAGACGTTTTTATCCTATAACAATCGCCCATGCATAGTACCACAGCATTTGTGGATATCAGTTTGGGTCTCTCCTCTAAATTTTTGGGTCTCAAATCCATTAATTCCCGTGAGCCTTTATTTCTCGACTTTAAAAGTTGTGGATCTCAAAACTGATACGCTTCTTTGAATTGATGTGGATCGTCTAATGCATTCACGAGTTGTGCGATTCGTACTATCCTTACTGAACAGAAGAGGAATTAATATAACCAAACTAGTGAGTCTGAGCAACTGTGGTCATGCCGAGGTCCATCGCGGCTAGCTCATCAAGGCCATCTCCAATCATCGCAGTGAAGCAAGCCACGGACATTACAACGTCCACCCTTTGAGTGAACAACTAAGAGCTTGCTCTGATATCCTGTAATGCGTTGAGTGGAAGGCCACATCAGTCACTTTTACGGCGCTGTTCATCGAGAGCAATCTTCAGTGTTTCTGTGAATCCAGCTAGCTGTTATTTATTTGTAAAAGACACGTCTTGAGCACTTTGTTTTCTAATTTTCATGTGCAAAATTAAAAAACTTGCGTGATTTATAAGCCACGATCTGGCCGTGTTTCACCGAAAAATTCACCGAACACTGAGACTAAAACACTTCAGACAAGTGTTAACTTCCACTTGCCAAACTACAAATGTACTTCTGTTCTGAAGAAAGGGGGGGGAAACACGAGAACTACGAGACGAAGTCAGATGTTTCTCCCGACATTTCTTTCGTTCTCTACAACGGAACAGAACGCAGTCAAGGCTTCTCTATTTATTAATTCAGTGATAGCGTGCGTATTCAGAGTTAACGTTATGTTATCAAAGCTGTTGTTTATATCTCATTTCTTTAGAGAAAGCTTTTAAAACGTAAATCAGTTTCTTAGAGTCACGAGGTGGTAATATTTGGGAACCGAAAAAGATGATAAGGAAGAGGGGAAGGTTGCTGTTAAACAATAATGGATTGAGTGAGGTAGAAAGTTTGCTGTGCCTTAAAAGCGAGCTTTTGTTTTTGTTTCAAGGAGCTGCATCAGTTATTTGATGTACGGAGCACCCATGGACTCGATATTGATAACTAAAAGAGAGAAATGTATGTTGTGACAGAAGATATTGGTTTTGAAGGGAAAGTTGTTCGTCGTTCTCGTCTGATTACAGCGAATTTTCAATTGGAACCTATCTTGGTATTCGAATGTCGAAGCGTTGTAAGAATTTTAAAGTGTTGCGGATTTTCACGTTTAAAGGAAGGCGACACATGGACGACAGCGTTTTGAAGAACCAGCTTTAACTAAACAGGCCATATCATCGCTTAAGCAGTGTTCAAATTTGCTGATTGTGGGCGCTTTGTAGGAAAATGTGTATCGAACTACGAAAATGATAACGAAGGGTCAGGCGGTGCTTTCATTAGAACTCACTCGAAGTATGATTTTGTGGGGTGAG